AAGTTGATATTCATCAACGGTGATAAAGTTTCGAGGAGTATTGTCTCCGCTTAAGGAAGAGAATTTTTCCACGGAAAAAATTCCACGCTAACGACTGTGAAACTCATTCACGATATTCGACCACCCTCGGAAAGTCCGTTCGCGTTTTCCATTGACGCGTATCGTCCCAAACGTTGCGTATTTATGCGCTTCAAGTATTGTGTCAGCTCTTTGTTATGTCGTCAAACGATCCCGAGCAGCGGTTATTGGTTTGTCGACGTTTTTACGAGGTCTCTCGTTGCAGTGGGAAGAGCCTTGTAAAGTGTTTTATGATGCGCGTTTCCTCGTCACGGCTCTTTTACAAGACACATCGTTGTCAACGACCTTCGAAATTAAATTTCAGATTAAAATTGAAGGCCGCTATTGCTGATGGTGTTCCTAGTACAGAACAGACCGCTGGTGGATTCATGAAATTTCATAAGGTACCAGTTTCATCAGAACTCATCCATAAAATTATATTAATTCTTGTCGATTTCGATGACAATGAAATTACCGATGTTGTGGATCATTTTGAAAAGTTCCGCACCTCTCTATTGCATAACCGACTACAGCCGACTGTAAAACTTTTGCGATTCGACGATTTATATTAACCGGTTCATAATTAACACGTTACTCGAAAACGCTAAATAAAATTTAATTTTCTTTTTAAAATTTTTTTAACTAATAACGTATCAAGCTTGGCATATTCTTGTTAAATTAAATTGAGAAAGAAAATGAAAAATAAATTGTTCTCAATGTTTTTTGAAATTAATGCAATATATGCACATGTTACAAATGAACTTACACAGTGTGTCAGGTCCTTAATAATACAAATGAATATTAACCCTTTGCACTCGAGAGGTGACTTTCAGTCACCATTTCATAAAATTTGGAAGATCGATATTAATTAATATATCAGACTTAATGTAATGCAACAATGTGCGAGGTATCGAAATCAAATAATTCTACAATTCTATTATTATACAATTCTTTATTCACTGCTCAAAGAAGTATCGTTAGTTTTTTAGTACAGAATCTTTGAATTTCTACTCATCTTTAGCCAAAAAATCGTCGAGTGCAAAGGATTAACTACAATTTACATTTCCTTTTACAAATTTTACTTGTTAATATGAAAAATGGCTGCGACAGAATAATAACACAGGTACCAAAAAATCAAATCAACGAGATTTTGTTTTTTGAAAGTGCAAGGCTTCTTATATATTTTCATGCGATGAATCCGAATATGGAAACAAAAACTGCTTACCATTTTAGGTTTATGAGATAAATAAATAAAAAGTTTTTTATTTATTTTTTCCAAAACCTTTATCAATTGCTTTGTGTAGTATTAACCTTCATGTGTAAACTGAAATTTGTATATACTCAAACTTCGAATCAAAAAATTTTATTCTTTTCTTCGATTCGTTTCTGCATGTAAAATCATCCATTTCCCGGTTGTGCTACCGTTGCTGAGACACCTTGCATATTCTGTTCCTACTAAAGCTAACAAAAATTTCTTTTTCATTGAAACTGAAAAAGAAACTGTTTTTGTTGAAACTAGAAGGAAATAACTATAAGTTTTATATTGTTTAATTTGATTTATCGACGTATGTTACCAGAGTATGATGTTTTATTTGTCTTACGAAGAGCAACACATCAGACTTCGTGATCACGAAAAGCTGTACATTTCGATTTTGGTCTCTAAAACTAGCACGTTTCCATTTATGGCGACGAAGAATAACGTATTGTGCTTTTCCGCTGTGAAAACTATTACGTTTCAGCAGTCCTCAGAGAAAAGTATCACGATTTACTTCTAGCCGCAAAAGTAACATGTTTCGCTTCTACAGTGGATCGAAAAAGTATTGACACATTCACCTTTTCTTTTAATATCTTGATGTATTGAAGTGATATATTAATACAACATATATCATATATTTCTTTGTCGATCTCGAAATAAAAATAGTGGCGAGTACTATATTGCTCATTAAAACGAACGTCAGCCTATTGTCCAAAAATTAAAAAATGAACGTTCACGATGTTTTGTGGTAATGATTGGCATAGATTTTAATATATCTTGATGCAAAAGTGCATGATGTTTGTAAGAAAGGATGAGTGCAGCGAGTATGCGTGAAATGTTTATGTGAGCGAATTTAGGTTGTATGAAAAATGGGTATGTGTGTAATGTATGAAGCATGGTATGGTCTGTATATTTTTATTTAATATATGATAGAAGAGAAAACAAATGAGAGAATAGTGGGGTAGGCGAGTTAGAAGCGAAAATTCCTTGAGAGAAGAAGTTGAAAGAGCGATATCGTATAAACTTGTGAACAGAAATAAATATATTTCATTAATAATTTTTATTCCACCCACTAATATTGTTAATTAAGTGTTTATTATATTCTTGTCACCTAAGTATACACTTATTAAACAATACCATAATTAAGGGTAAAAGTTATCGATGAAATATAACTTATTTCGTTTATACTTTCTCACGTTATTCGTACTCACGTTTGCTCTTAATCAATTTTGAATTGTAACTGACCTGTTCAAATGCTTTCTCATTTGTTCTCTTTTCTTTCATACATCACATAAATATACGCAGTCACACGCATACTCGATCCACTCATTCTTTCTCGCAAACATCATTTATTTTACATCAATATATATATTAAAAATGTATGTCACCCATTACCACGCATGTTTCACTCATGTAGATAAATTCGTTTAAAACCAAAAGAAGACATTTTAAAGATTTGTCGATTTATTATGCATTCGCCAACCTTCATGAAATCGTTATGTTCCGTTAATGATTTTAACCTGTAAGAATTTATCATAAATTAAAAGTTCGATAATTACCAAAAATCTTCGCGGCCTGTTTGTAAATTGAAATTTCCAAATTGAAAGTCGAAATGGAACATGAAACGAATGAAGCGTGTTACTCTTCTCTGCAGTATTCCAAATATGCCACAGTCCGTGGCGAACTGTGAATCGTGCTCGTTATCATGGTGAATATCAAACATGCTTGTTTTTGGTGGAAACAACGGAAGTACTTTTTCTCATAACGGATTGAAATGTGCTAGTCTACGCAAGACAAATGAAACATACTTCTTTTTGTAAAGCACCTCATTATTATCGTTTAATGCGATTTCTTTCTTCTTTCCCGTTTTTTGTACCGAAGCAGTTGGAAAATATAATTGCTTGTTTTTTAAACGAAACCTCATTGTTTCCTATTTCTTTTAATACCTCGCTTTTCCGTGATATTCTGAATAAAAGAGATATTGCAATAAATTACTATTATTAGAAAATTATTATTATCAGAAAAACTAATAGTAATTAATCACTGGTATTAAGCTAGATTATTATTATGAGGAAAAGTGATTAATTTCATGAAATATTTTTGTTGAAGGGGTTATAACGCAAAGGAATAGTAATAAGTGGAAACGGTGGAAAAACTATATAGATCTTCATTGAACGGGCGAACGGTTAGAACTGGCCTGTTTAGGGCCACGCAGGTCAGAAAACAGGAGACAAAAGACAAAGTGCAGGGGAAGGGATCACTCCCATATCTCTAGGATGTAGAGTTTACTTTACTGCTTAGTTTTTACTACAAAAATTTTCAAGCTCGTATAATATTTATATTAATGTCGTAACATAACGTCGAGCTGCTGTCGTGTTTAGTGATAGGTATTGCATTTACAGTTTAAAATAATTTTTGTATTCTTACTTACTGTTTATGTTGCTTGATAATGCCGTTTGAATAGTTTTATGACCATGTTTCAATAGGTTCGTTATTGTAATGTATATTTCATAACTACCATACGTGCTATTGTATTCGCTTGTATTCATTTTATAACATAATAATATGATCTTGATACTTGTATCTCATAGAAGTTACAATACTACTTTTAGATCTTTAGATTAACATGCATATTTCAACTGTTTAATGTTTTAATAGCGAGCGTTCAAATACTTTCGTGAACTAGCATGTGTACACTTCATTCAATATGAAACATTACAGTTTCCAGAATTGTATCAAATCACATCAGTATAGAGTTACAGCGCAATGAGATTTATATACTGCAATTTTATCGATTCCTTCACTTCTCTTCTCTTCTTCCCTGAAATAAGAGAAAAAATGAACTAAATTTTGCGTGAAAAGTTATCAGCAGCAGATCTCATAGCTGAATTTTGCTATTCAGAACGGGGGGTCAAATTCTTATGCAGTCGTTAAATTTGACACTTTTCTCGATTATAAAGTAATTTAAAACACATACAAAATGACTGAGTGTGGCGATTTTAAAAAATAATAAATTCGAGGATTGGTAGCTGTTTTAAATAATAACGAAGACTATATTTCTTTCTTTCTGTACCCAGTTTTCTCCCTTTTATTCTCACGTTAGATCTGTAACTCATTAAGGTACATTTCTATATGGAGGTTTCTGAGAATATTATTTCCTAGTAATATATTGTGCTCATTATTGTGGGTTGGCTCCTGTTGGAATTATTTTACTTTTCATTTTTACCCGTTTCATTTTTATGTGAGCCAAATCAAAACAGTTCCAACTGTAAAAAATTACAGATGGCATCTGTGTCCTTCTATAGTGATTCCGGAAATGTAGTATTAGTTGAAAATAACATCAGTTAGAGTAAAAGGAAAATCTTATGTAAAATTTTTGAATAAACGTTTCGTTAAAGATTTGTAAATAAATATTACGTACAATATACTAAGAACATCCCCTGTACATTTCATTTCGTTTCAACCTTTCTATTTCAATGAAATTCAACGTTAGATTTAACGAAAACAACTATTTAATGACCAAGCAATTTAAAACACGTGAGAAATTAATGATAATCCTGAAAAATGCTTAATGTCTACGCTCACGATATAAAATCTGGTGTTTCAATATAAAATCTAGGCTCTATTCTCAACATCGATTTCACATTAACCAATTTTATTGCTACATGATGAATTTTCGTGATTGCAGATCCAAACCTGAAAAGATGATTCGTGACTATCTGATGCTGCTGTTGTGGCTGTGCGTGGTACAAGGAAAAATAGGTAAATGTATGCGTGTGTATGCGCGTAGATGCGAGTGTTCTCGCGACCGAGCCATTTTATCCACAATTCCTCGTTACGTGCGTCTGCCATCGCACGCGTTACTTCTCGTTGCATACAACCATGCTCGCGACTAGGTGAATTATTAAAACGGGCCAAACTTTCGACGTCGAATGTGGGTCGGTGTTCTTTGAGCTCGATCAAGACAGAATTTATTCGACAGTCGTACATTAACGTTCCCTCGTTGTTACGGTTAATTATGGACCGAGTTAACAAGCTGACGTAACGTACGACCACTAACGAAAATGTTATAATAAAGTTACCGGGTTGACGAAAATTCCTTGACCCAATTCTCCACGTGAAATTTCCTTTCCTTTACGTTCCGTAAAGTATTCTGTTTGAACTGAAATTACTTTGAATGCTGGTACAGGTACGATTACTTGTGAAGTATTTCAATTTAGAAACTTTCTGATAGGGAATATTTTACTTGAGAAAGTGAAGTCAAATTTTCATTGGATCGTGAATGAAAAATAGCGGTTGAAATTGAATTCACTTCTTCGGAAAACATAGTTATTTCGATCTTGCCGTTGGATTCGCGAGTACTGCCTGCAATAATTAACAACGAACTTTATACTCGAGTGACTTATTAGACTAATTGTCAGCGAAGTTATGGCTTATATAAATTAGAGATTCGCAAGAATTCCATTCGAGTGTTAGTTTACATTTCACGGAAAAAGAACCTTCATCGTTCAATTCGATACCTATTTTAAAAATGTCCTTCATAAAAGATCCATTTAAATAAATCTCGCGTTTTCCATCAGAAGATTTAGTACGTAACCTTATTCGATTCTCCGAAAATTGTTAAGTTTAATATGATACAAGTAATTACCAGATTCAATAATTCATAATACGAAGTTAAAGATATACCTTTTACGTTAATAATAAAGTAGAACAAGATTCATTTTATCGTTGTTAAGTATAACAAAGTGTATTTTCCTTCTGTTATATAATATTCTACAATGAAGGAAATTGAAATTAATGGAAAACAACGTTGCTTGATAAAATTCAAGTTATAATTACCGTTATGACTAACTGGTTATAATACTTTTTAATGAAGCGTATAATTAATTACCATACGAAATGCAATAACTTTTATTCGTCATTTTACACATTATTATGATCCTACAGGCAGCAGTTGAATATTTTCCAGGTTTTGCTTCGTTTATAAAATTTCGCTTAACAATTCATACATGTACTTCATTATTCCAGAAAAATAGTATATTACAAATTACAGTTTCCAAAATAATTAATAACTTGTAAACAAAATGAAACAAATTAATTTTTTCTATAACTGAAATATGACACACGTTCTAATACAGTTTGAAAAGTTGATCAATCTTTTATCAATTCCCTGAATGAATAGTAAAATAATACTTTGTGTAATTTATACAGCAAAAAGAATTTCAGTAAATGAAAAACTTCTTCGACGAAGTTTGTCACGGTAAACAACTACTTCAATGTTTTAAACGCAAGAAATTTCCATAGACGACTCTGACTAATCAATCCTAATTAAGAAATCAATTCGTTCGAATTGGAAAGATCCAAGTTTCCACGACAATCTAAAACTCGCGTGTGTTCGTTTGGATAAATTCAGTCGAATGATTGGATCGATGATCGATTTTAATTACTTTGCAAAGTAGCTCGGTCTCATTTAAGAAACGGATCATGGAATTAATTTAAAACAATCCGGCCGTGTTCATACCCCCTTCCCGATTTGACCCGATTTCGATTCCACGCGGAAACACGAATTCGTCGAGGGTAGGAATCGAATTCGCTCGAAACCGCGCCTTTCCTCTTGCGTCAACCTTGCAGTTTCACATCCTTGCCCCGATGCGGCGTAACGTCGACTCGCAGAATCGGTAGGAAAGAAACGATGAATGCAAATGCGACGGGTCGGATGCAAATAGAGGCCGAAACGCAGAAGGCGCGACGACCCCGTTCTCTCTGCTTCCAGGGTATTTCTGGCACATCACCGACATCCACTATGACCCAAGATACTCCACCCAGGCGAACGCAGAGACCGGTAAGTAGCTTCGTTTTATTTCCAAGGTATATGCACTCTTTCTCTATTTCTTATTGTCATCATAGGCTTACTCGCAAGTGTTCCTGAAACGTCAGGTTAAATCGGTTGTCTGGCTATTTCGAAAACGTTCATAGGGGTGGTTGTGGTTTAGAGCTGATTCCTGTAATGGGTTTCTAATGGAATCTGGAACTGCTTGCTCGGTTGATGATTAGAAATGATCTTGGGTATACGCGATGATATTAATCGAAGTTATAATAAATCTATATGTAAATAAATGTACATTTACAGTAGAACGTCGATTTCTCGATTTAATCGGGAGACAGATTTGTTCATCGGATTTGCGGTTAATCGACCTGAAAGAAGCAAATTCTGGATTATTTCATAAATCGATTAGAAATTAAAAATACTCGTAAATTTATATTCTCGATTATTTTTATCTACGTACACCTGTCACTCGTGTTACAGCGGTCTTTAAATCTAGATTTATCTAGGTGTATTACCCATATTTCTTTACTTCAATTTTCTATTGAAATACAAATACGTGACTTACTTTACATTTGGATAATCATTTGTAATTCAAAAATAGTTTAAAATTTGCATAATCGTCGTGCGGATAATCGATATTCTACTGTATTACAATAACAGTATAAAAATGATATCGTATGAAACAATAGATATTAATGGCTTCGAGTAGAAGTATTGAGAAAGAATACATATATCAAACCATAATAGTATAGAAGTAAAGATACACGAAAAAATAAGTATTAATGGATATTGAAAGAGGATATCGAGAATATTAAAAGAGGGTATAATTATAATAATAGAAATGATATGTGATAGAATGAGCGATACGTATTGATTACCACGTAAACTCGTCTTTTAAGTTCACCGAAGTTATTAATCTTGAATCGGTCTGATTATTCTGTAATCTGTAGGAAAAGATATTCAAAAATTTTGTGACCTAATTACCTTCGTTCATTAGATATATGTCAGAGGAACTCGTTATATAGCGTCAATTATCCTTCTTCACTTTACAGACGATTTTAATGAACGATTAATCAAGTACCATGACTCTGCTACTTAAGCCAAGTTTTTCGTCTCGTTACTTGATAGCCTTCAATGTCACGAAGCTACTACTACAATCTCCTCTTTTAATATTCTTCGCGAGATTACACAGTGCAGTACTAATTTTCCACTGGACACACAGAAAAATCTTGCGCTCTGTCCGAAAATATTCAATGACATTTTTTCCTCCAGCGTCACAATCCCTGTACAATACGCCTGTAAAGTTTTGCCAAACATTTCAGGAACAGAATGTATTCAGCTTCCATTCCCTGCTCCCGGTGCCTATATTTTGCCCGTTCCCGTCGCTATTTACCGATCGTTTTAAAGTACCTGGCGTGTTTGGTTGGCACGGGGTTTGCATGAAATAGCGCTACCTGAAATTGCGTCCCATACCAAGCACGAGATAGGGCCGACTCCGTGTCATTTGGACGTTAGCGAGGCAATACGTGACCGTCCGCTGCGTTGCTCCCTTAATACGAGCACCACGTTCCCACGTGCTCGTTCCCTCATTTCTGCCTTCCCTCTTCTTTTTCCCGTTTTCTCTCTTTTTTTTAATTCTTCTTGTTTCCCTCTCAGCTTAGCATTTTCCTGTTTCAAGCATGCTGGAACACGTGGAATGGCGTGAGCAGCGGCCGGAAGACGCCCGGAGAATTCGGTGACTATGGCTGCGACTCACCCTGGGCCCTGGTCGAATCGGCAGCGATGGCGATGACGACTCATCACGGTGAAGGAATCAAGTTCGTTCTTTGGACCGGGTAGGTTTGTAAATTTTAATCGCGACCGAGGTCACGAGTATCGATTCTTTCGTCTTTCCGTTGGAACTCTTGGTAAACGACTGTTTCGATTAAATATACGTTACATAAGGATCGCGGTTACATAATATTCCTATGCTAATTTTTTTAAATTCCACAGTTTGTTTCCTAATCGTTGAGTCTATAGTGGATAGTAAATTGGAATTAATTTTTATCTTTTCTTCAACGGTTCGTATTTTACTTAGAACGAGAAAATATCGTGTAAAACGTATTCGTCCCTCTAGCCTCCGGTGAAATGGATGAAGACATGTGTTTTGAAGGAAACAAATTATTCGAAGACTATTTTTATTGAATCTAACGTAAAGGTGCGATTATTAAACTGGAGAAGTCTCGAGATAGCCTAAGTTTATGGTGATTGGTTAACGGTCAAAATTTCTGAAAGCCTCTGATGTACTCCGAAATGTGTTTCAATCATTTTAACTTTAATATATAAAATATACATCTTAATTTGGCAGAAACATGACAAACTTTGAATAGTACCTTGAAATATGTTCTTCGGTTGAAATAAAACGTTGAATACGATTTGAACAGCAAAGGGATACAAACGAGGTCGTCATCGACCCAAGCTCGTCCTCTCTACTTTCATTTCGTTAGCGTAATATCAGTGACGAGGCCCACAACGTGAGATTATCATCCTGATCAAGAAGGAAGGACACATAGCGCAAAAGGACTACAAGTGTGCAGTCGGAGTTTGTTGAAATTTTTCAGGATTCTTGAGAATTTTCATTGAAGATTAGGATTAGGATTTATCAGATCTTGATGTAAAAACGAGATCTGTGACAAAATTTATTTTTTTTTTACTTCATTTTATTTCAGTTTCATGTTTATAATACTAACATATTTTTGTAAAGAGTTCTTTATATGTGTAAATAACTATTTTTTGTGGAACCTTTTATAATATAAATTTTAATTATCATTTCAACAAATTGGGAGATGGGAAACAGAATTTGTAATTTAAGTATAAATGCTTGATTATACACAAATATCGTATAATTGAAGAGCACTTTGGGAAGAAAGCATTTCCCAAAATGGATCTACTATTCGAAACAACATTCTTTATGATAGTCTTATCGTATATATTACAGATAAAATTGATATCGATGAATAGACTTGGCATATGTGCCAAATTTTGGCAGATGTACCCTTCTTCCAAAAAACCCTACAACCGTACATCAGCCATAACAAAGATTCCACTTTTATGTATAATTTTATAATTTTGTTAATTCGTTTATTTTATAAGGTTAAATATATTTAGTTCTTTATTATTGGAAATAGTGGCTATGACATTTTTATTATTATAAACGGAAGCCCAAATGCAATAAATGTTACGCTTATATTATTAAAAATGAAATGTCACGTATTTCCTTGTACTGAATGGAACCTGTGTAATTTAATAAATGTACACAGAATTTGAATATAATTCTGTTAATTAAAAATTTAGTCTCATAAAATGGTTATTCTTTTTAACATTTTTGCAGCGAGTGTCGGGGAAATTAAAGACGTGCACAAATAAATTACAGAACTTTAGTGAACGTCGGTGACTATTTTAAAGGCATATTCTACTGGGTTAGAAAATTCAATTTTAATCATAAAGTAAAAATCAATCAATCTTTTATATGCAAAATAAATAAATCAGTTGCAAAGGTATCGCTTTCTTCCTCGCTATTTTATGATCCACACTGTACTTATGCTGAACGATAAAAGTATCCTTTCTAATAGATTTTTTCTCATTTAACACTGAAACTACCAAAGAAATAAAAATAATTAGTTCCAGGTATTTTATGTCTACAGCTTTTAAAATCACGTATATTGTTGCTTTTTATTTTTATCTAAATATAAGCGAAAATATATACAAAGCTTTTCATATTTTTCCGTATAAACTTCAGCTATTTGTTCTTTAGGTAAAAATTAAAGTTATAACATAAAAACGCTACAAATACATTTCGAGTTTGCCTGTTTCTATTTCGAAATGTCACCAGTGTGTACGTGTCTTTATCGATAGAAATGTGATATCTATTTATCATTAAATTTATTGTAGATTTTGTTAAATTTTTTAGTGTGCAATGTGAAAAAGATTCAAAAATAATAAACGTATCAACAAATTATACAGAATATTACGTATTTTGTCTTGTCTTATATTAAATTAGGGAAACTAGTATTGCTATATTCCTCATGTTCCATAATTTTGTTATTTTAAATGTTTTTTCATTATCCTCCAACCATTTATTTTAAAATTATTCTTCAGTTTTTAACTATTCTTAATGTATCATATTCAACTATGGATTACTAGTTACATGACAGTTTATCCCTTACGTTAATTTTTTCACATTCTCACGTAAAGTATTATATCTACTTGGTAAAATATTTTAATAGTCAACTAAATCGTAATTATTTGGTACACTTTCTATCGATGTCAGCTTCAATTAAAAATTTCGAAAACGATATCCTAGTACAGGTAGCCCTCCTACAACACGGCATCCTATAACACGATATCACTATAACACGATTTATAAATTGCAGGAACCCTCCTACAACACGGCATCCTATAACACGGTTTCGCTCTAACACAATAAGAAAATTGCAAAAACCATTGTACAGCACTGTACTTCTACATGTGCAATGACGACGAAGGAATTTATTAAATTAAAGTTGCATTAAATTAAAATAATATTTTTGTCTTTTTTATTCTGTGTTTATTCTGTGTATAAAGGATATAAAACAACTAAAAATGCATATTTGTATAATAATAATTTCTGTATTTACATTTCGTGTAGATCTTTAGATCTCTTCGTGCAAGCTCAAGACAAATTGATTTTTTACATTTTGAAGGTAATTGCAATAACAACGTAATTTAGGAACACCGATACTCCGTAGATTATGAAACAAAATTATAGAACAAGTTCGATGGTTTTGATTATTGTCATAAAAATTAATTGTATTTTCACTTAAAGAACACATTAGTCAAATTTCTACCGAAAAATATAGGTCCTTCTGTACCTAAATTTATCTTCATTTTAAAACTCGCTCGATTTAAAACGCCTTGCGACAATTCAACAGTAGTGATTTGGAAGAAGTGAGGAAAACGACCGATGACATCTTTATCGTGATTTGCAAATGGGTAAAGGAATGAATAAAGAATTAAGAAAATTGTGTAAAATCCTTGGGAAATGAGAAGTTTCGAAGCTTCAGCATTCTACGGGTGCGATCCTGGAGTCGATAACCGATCTAACTTGCTCCAAAGCTTCTGATTCCAGATATCTCTTTCTCGGTGTGCGAGTTAAATACGGTACCCGACTTCCTGAAAAGCTGACTTATGCACTTCCAATCTTAGTCTTGACGTAGCTTGAACCTTCGACAGTTCTCACAACTTCACTCGGGATACAAAAGTCTAAAGTTATATACGTTATTGGTTTAGCATGACAAAGTTGACGTTTTTAATATTGTCAAATATGGCACATGCCATATTATTAGTCAAACATCAAACAAACAGATCGATATTTTTGCAGTACAGATTTGGATTCCTTCGTAATATTCTCCTTGATGTGCATATAAAAAAAATTCATGAAATTTGGAAAATTCGTTAACGATATCAATGCGGTAAACTAAATTAATCGACACAGTAAAAAGCCAATAGCGATTAAGTTGTTCTGAAATAGAGGAATTTATTTAAACCTGCCACTTTTTGAAAGCAAATAATTTTTATCGCGGAATTAATTTATATTTTATAGAAATTTTGACATTTTTTCAGATACAGTGAAAAAAAGTGGCGCAAAATCTCGTTACACTGCAACTGTTCTAGGTTTACCTTTCAGCAAATTAATAACGATGGCTGCCATTTTGTAGCGTACCATAAATTCGGTATAATTACTCGACTTATCTCTTTATAAACAAATATGATATAATTCCGTACTGAAAATGTTAATAATTATAATTTAATAATTTTGATATCGGTATATCAAAGTTTCGAAGAAAATTTATAGAAAATATTAGATTTTCAGTAGTATAAATCAGAATTTCTCTTTTTAAACAGTCACACTTATTACCTATCTGTGTGTTACGAATTTAAAACAACATATCTTCAGAAGATTTTAAAGAAAACATTAGTTGTCAATCATTGTAAACCATAATTTTCTTTTTTCGTTGATGTATTTAATGACATAACAGAACCAACAGTAAATGAAAAATAAGTGTCCTAATTCCTAAAGTAAACATTGATATTTTAACCTGTCATGGTATGAAACTTTTTAAGCAATTACGACCATTTCCGTTTTAATATTAATTTAATACTTTATTTTACAATTTAACATTATATTCAGTCAATCCTCCTACAATGTAATTACTTTATTCCGCGTTGTATCAGAGCATGTTGTATCAAAAGTAGGTTTCCAATATACTATATTACGTGAAAAACGAATGTTAGTTGTTGTTTAAATTTCACAATGTACGAATATATAGGGTGGATCAATAACCGTGACCACGTAAAATAGTCCGATACTTTAGAAATGTGGGGAAACTTGGCTAACGAAAGTTGTATGGTTTGAAGGGAATCATAATATACCAGTAACAATTTTTCTTACAGATGGAAGGTTTTGGAGATTTCAAGATCATCTCCATTTTTTTAAACGGCATACTATACTCTTCTATTTTCAATGAAATTGCAGATGTTTGGACGATTCCAATAAATATTTTCCATGTCTCTAAAAATAACAGAGATATTCGAAATGATCGAAAATATTATTCCACCCTTCACAGTTGAAACATTCGTGCTATGTAATGGTTGTCCAAACTTATGAATCCGCGATACATGGAAGCTATTATGCTAGGATACCATATTGAAGAAGAACTGTCGCAATTTTTACGGTGTGTTGCATTCAAATCGTGTTTTCGATGTGCCGAGTTATATCTGTACTATTAAAATTTAATTTCAAGTAGTCATGATTATA